AATTAGAAAGAGGCAGAAAGGGTCTTGGACTTCGACTAATTGGAGGAGCGGAAGAGGGAACGCAGGTAAAAATAATTTCATGATTTTGATGAACTTGCTTTTTTACTAAAGCTTTAAATCGAATTATTCTGAAATTGACTCATAAGCTTGATTAGGTCTCCATCAATTTCAGTGCAAGACAGAAGTGCAGCTAATTAATAAAATTTCAAGCACCACTTTTGGCTCAAGACGCGGGATCATGCCACGTCACGGCGAGTAAAACCGAGGCAAAACGTGCACTGAAACCGGTTCTTGCGTCACGCGCTTGAGCACACTTAATTGGTGAAGAAGCGATTAATCAGACAACTCAACGCCTTTATCGCATTGGATTTGCACTGCCATCCGCACTCCCTTTGGTAGGGCCTGCTCTTTCCACTCAACAGCTCTATGCTGTAAAGTGATTCTCTCAAAATGTACATTTGCTCTGAACTGGAAGCCTTAGAGAGATTCATAGTCAGTGTTCTCGACACAGACGGTGTTATTACCACCTTCTTTTGCAAACCGCAACGACCAATCTGCCTGCTTTCAATCGCATCAAGTCACACACGTTTTGCGTCGTACTCCCTCCTAACTCAGGCTAGAAGTCGACTATTTAAAGATTTCATTCTTTAAGTCAATTCGGATGCTGAAGTTGGGCGGATCCCCCATGCCAAGGCCGCAGTTGAGTCATGAGGTTGGTAGTGACGCAGAATTTCCTCACTGAAACACAGAGAATTAAATAGGCACTGACACGCATATTTGAAACTTTGCGACAATATTTCGGTTTCTCTTCTAATTAGTGAAGAATTATTATTGTCCACCTTTCATAATGACATTGACAGGGAAACAGTGACCAATGTTGCTACGACCGTGAAAGCGACCGTGGTCAACAGGCACTCAATTGCTCACCTTCAACTCTAATATGATGAGCAAATGGAATGTTAATCAGATGAAACGCATTTAACGCAATTGTCCTAACAAAACAGATGCCACTGATCAATCTCAGGTTTTTCATCCTCTTAGTCCCTTCCAACTCCCCCCACCCGCCCACCAAACCAAATTTCAAGCAGCCAAATCTGTCAGGATCCACACTTACAGGAAATAATAGCAATAACATTCTGTCACAAACGTCGAAACTCAAGTGGTAAATATGCATTCCGTCATACTGCATGATAATAATTTGGCGAAACTTTATGCAACACACGAGTGGATACAAAAAACCAGACTTACTTTTAACAAAAGAAATGAATCCTGCATGTAATGGAATATTA